GGCAGGTGGGTAGACGACAATCAACTTTTCCAAGCAACCTCTATCTGAACTACCACTCCCCCACCCTCTTTTTTTTTTTTTTTTTTTTGACAAAACATGCAGGCTGGGACCATTCCTCCTTTAACATTATTTTACCATCTCCTCCTCCTTAGCCTTGGTGGGTCCCAGAGTGGACCATCCTATGCTCCTGTTAAAGGACCTCCCACCATGCATATTTTAAAGGTCATTTAGGATGTCTCTTAAATCCTGTCCTGAGTAGCAACTCTCCTCCCACAAACAGATGTACAGAATCTGCAGTTAGAAACAAAACAGAAACGCAAAAATTGCCCTGGCCTGCCATAGGCTCAGCTTAAGAAACATACTCCCTCCCCCATCCCATCTCCCATGCACAGATGGATCTGGCACAATAATGGTCCCAGACACTAAAGTAAGTGCTTACAAGAACTTAGGAAATCAGAAGTGTTTCTCTAACCTCAAATATTTATATAGAGAGAATTCTGCTGCACTGGTCTTTTTCCAAGAGATGCTACCTTGACACTTAATTGTGCATTACTCATTTTAAACAAAACAAAACAAACAGAAAATAGCCAAAACACACAAACATAATCTCTGGGGGTCACAGAAGGAAACCGTGAGTTAATATTAACTTCTATCTGTCCCTTCTGCTGAGAGCTGGGAAGTAGTCGTTTCAATAGCGGATCTGCTTTATCATTTTTGCACAGAAGCCCTATACCAAACTGCTGCCAAAATAAGTCACTTTGATGCTACAAAAAGTGGTTAAGGCCCTCATTTCAGCATCATTTGAATTTTCAACACTTGACCTTATATGAATGGCAGTCCTTCACCAACAGTACAGTGGAACAGAAAAAGTTCTACTTAGAATTTCTACATGAACCAAAACCTCAACTTGTGACCCTAGTAAGGAAAAGGAAGCCAGGGTCACAAAGTAGATCAACTTTTTAAGGACTTGGAAAAAAAAAATTCAGTTACAAACAATATGGAAAAGAATCCTAAAGATCTAATCAGGGACTGGTTCCATCTTTGGAGAGGGATTTTCTGTGGTTTGGAGAAACATTAGGTTAAAAATGATAATGATATTTGATTTTTCAGTCATTCTGAACTTGTCTTCAAAGAAAGGCAATTAGAGTCATAATACTCTCATTGCTTTTTTCTTCTTTTGTAAATCAAGAGATATAAATTCATTTCATCAGTTACTTCCTCGTAGCATTTTTGGTCCAAGTGGTCAAAACTAGAACTTTTAATTTTGTAAGTCCCAAACCATAAACACCAACTGTAATTCATATACAAGAGGAAAAAGAAATATATAACAGAAAATAGGAAAACTTTTCTTCCAGCCACAAATAATAATGGAGAGTTGTATATGTGTGGGAAATAGAAATACAACAATTAGCATTAAATTCAAAACCTCTGGGAAAGCTATTTTGATTAGAGGCTGTATTATTATCTTAGAATATGCAAGTTTAAAAATCGATATTTTAAAGTTACTTACATTTTTAAAGTCACTTCTTTTTTAACCTCAGAAAATTTATATACACATTGGAATCCAGAAATTAAGGTTACCAAAAAAACCTGTTGCTGTTGAGTCGATTCCAACTCTGTGAACCACTCTGAATTTATTTGAAGTTATCAATATTTATGCTTCTCATTTTAATTTCATAGCAAACCTCAGTCACTATGAAACTAACGTTAGAAGCATAAATATTGGTAACTGCAGATGAATTCAGAATGGCTTCAGACAGATGTGATAAAACAATAACAAAGCAGAAGAGTATCATGTTTTGGTTTTTGCTTGAGATATACATGTTGTTGTCTTGTGCCAGCAAGTTGATTCTGACTCATGGTGACCCATGTGAGACAGAGCAGACTGATCCACAGCAAGGGACCAGTGGGTTGAAACCACCAACTTTTGGTTGCCAGCTGAGGGCAATACGGTATAATTTTTTCTTCTGAGGAATAACATTAAAACTTATTTTTTTTTTATCAAAGGAAGACTTAAGATGGTATCAACAGAATTTAAGAGGGCATAAGAATAGAGCATATATATATATATATATACACACACACACACACATATAATACAGTAAAACCTATGAGAACTGGAACTCAATTGTTGTGCCATGTTTTCTGAGTCACACAGATTTTCCACCTTTGACAGGATGTTGTCTTACCACTTTTATACCACTGTTAGTGGAAAATATTTGAGCTTTCTGTCTCTGATAGGTTTCTGCCTTACACAGGTTCTGGCTTTCACAGGTTTGACTGTGGAAGTATATGTATGTATGTGTACATACATATGTATATGTATGTATATATATATTGTTGTTGTTAGGTACCATTGAGCAAGCCGGTTTTGACTCATAGTGACCCTATGTACAACAGAACGAAACTCTCCTTGGTCCTTCACCATCCGCACAATCATTGCTATGATTGAGGCCATCGTCACTGCCATTATATCAGTCCATCTTGCTGAGGATCTTTTCCTTTTTTGCTGACCCTCTACTTTACCAAGCATGATATCCTTTTCCAGGAACTGGTCCTATCCAACAACATGACCAAAGTATGAGAAACGAAGTCTGGCCATTCTCGCTTCCAAGGACCACTCTGGCTGTACTTCCTCAAAGATAGATTTGGTCATTCCTTTGGCAGTGCATGGTATATTTAATATTCTTTGCCAGTATCACAATTCAAATGCATCACTTCTGCGTTTTCCTTATTAATTATGTATGTATGTGTGTGTGTATTTTATACAAGGAGCTCTGGTGGTACAGTGCTTAAGGCATATTTCTGCTAACCATTAGGTTGGCAGTTCAAACCTGCCAGCAGCTCCACAGAAGGAAGATGGGGGAATCTACTGTAAAGATTTACTGCCTTGAAAACCCAATGGGGGTCACTATGAGTCAGAATCGACTTGATGGCAGTGAGTTTGAGTTTACATATTATACACACATACAAATACACACATATGTCTTCTTCATTTGCATTTGAAGAGCGAAGGACAACCCCACAATGACCTCCAGGTGGCTCAGCCCTCATTTCATTCTACCAGATGACTTGAATGATTAATCAACTAAAACAGAGTGACAGACCTCTTTCTTGCTAAATCATTCCTGAGAGAAAGAAAGTTTCCACCATTACTTGGCTCAGATTACTGCTGTTGTGAAAACTAGAGCCCTACTATAACTTGTCAGAAAAGCCACAATCTGCAAAGAGGTGACTATGAGTAATAGGTAAGAACCAAGGCTGCAGATAAGTGTATTTGAAAAGATTTTTCAGAATTACTTAGAGTCTGTTTTGTTTATTACAGTCCAAATACATGACGTTCTTGTGAAATAAAATCATATGATACAGATAAAAACAGGCCATGACAGCTCAGCAAGAGTTGTTTTAGGGCCAAATTACAGACCACCCAACAGTTCACATTTTAGGAATTTGAAAAGACTAAAATTAGATAAGGTGGTTTCACTAAAAGAGAGAGAGAGGAAAAAGGAAGAACGGAAGGAGGAAAGAGGAGGGAAGGAAGGATGAGAGGAAGGGAGAAAGGGAGGACAGGAGGAAGGAATGAAGGAAGGGCATTACTGAAACTTTATGAAATGTTAACTAAGAAGAATACCTTACTTAGAAGGATAAATGCATACACGTTGTGCAGATTAATGCAATATTAAACACAGTAGATTACATAGGCCTCATAATACTTTTGTAAAGGCATATATATAATGTCTCCAAGCACTTTGGAAAAATATGCAGAGACTAACTCAGGAGCATTCTAGATAAAAATACATATTTCTTTAAAGGGACAGGGCAGGGGGCAGGAAAGCAGAGTCTCGGGGCAGACCCCCACGGACATACAAGGCTGAAACTACATTTTGGTAATTATCGTTGATATGGCAGCAAAAACTGTTGTAAGGATGTTGGCTGGTTTTGAAAGGGTTATTTTCAAATATAACCTTACAGCTACATTTGTGAAAAATTCTCGTGAGCGTTTATTAACCCTACAATGTATATACTGACATCTATTTTTACAATAAAATAAAAGTCGCAGTGTTGTAAGTGCATATGGGACATAGTATATAGCAAGTGTGAACCGTCTCTGGGTTCCTTTCACACCGGGGGATACCAACTCTTTTAAATAAAATAATACTTCCTTAAAAATCTGCCACCTAACAATTGTTTACATCATAGAAAAATAGCATTTTTGTAAAAAGAAATATAGTTACTTTGTTAAAATGGTCTATTTTAAACCAGCAATTATTTCTTCATATAAAGAATTTCTAAACATCCATACAGAAAATAAAAATAGATAATACTGAGTGCAAAGCAGACAACGGCCTATTTGCAAATGATCAAAGTATTTCATTGCCAGATAAATACTCTTAGTACATTATAGTACAAGTTTTACTCTTTTAGGAACTTAAAAGATATTGCTTTTACTTTCTGATGGCAAGTTACTCATAAGTAAAGTTACTTCCAGCAGCAGAACAACAAATTGATTAGAAATGGATCATATATATTCATTCCACATTTCCCCAAAACTCAAAGTGCTGAAACACCAGGCCTGTGCCATGAAATCTGTATCTTGAGTGTGGGACACAAGCTGTGGAGGTGAGGAAGGGGAACTTATAACACTGACAATCCTTTCGAAATCATTTCACTTCAACTCCCATGTTTGAAGGTTCACACAGAACCAGATTTGCACCAAACTATATACCAACTTGGCCAAATCCATCATCTGAAAATTCTTTTCTAAATACAGGGATTAAATCTTCATGCACTAAAAACAGATGGTTTCAATGGGCTATTGCTTTATCTCCACAAAGCAATACTGAATGACTAATTTCCTAGTGGCAGTGGTGAAAGATAAATCAACACTGAACACCCACAGTTTCCAGCTTGTACGTGGGCCAGTTGGGCTGATGGACTCAAATCAGAGGAAACTCAATTAGCACACTGAAGTGGTCCCAAACGTCACTAGTATCATCTCATCACACCCTTTCCACTCGGCTAGGATCATACGAATCTGTGAAAAGTGAAAGAAGAAAAGATAAATTGTTATATATTCAACTGGTCTGTTTGTGTTTAATATTCAGATCATAACATGTTTAGGCAGTAAAATCCAAGTGTGTAAAAAAAAAGTGTCTAAAAGTTAATTTTTAAACACGTCAAAAGTCTTGTTTTCACTAGGAGTGAAAAATGATTGCTAAAAGGCTGTTTTAGAGGGCCATCGTTAGAACCCTGTGTGGTACAAACAGTTAATGTGCTCGACTGCTAACCAAAATGCTGAAGCTTCAAGTCCACCCAGAGGTGCCTTAGAAGAAAGACCTGGTGATCTAGGTCTGAAAATGCTGCCATTGAAAACCCCATGCAACATAATTCTACTCTGACACGCATGGGGTTGCCATGAGTCAGATTCGACTTCACAGCAACAGATCTGGTTCTTTTGGTATGATCATTACCCAAACACAGATGGAAAAATGTGAGTTGCTTAATATTTTGATGATCTTTTCCTGTTGCTCATAACGGAATATAATTAACTTTAAATGCAACGTGTGTAAACTGGCAGTGATGTGTTTGGCTGATGCTAACAAAGATTTTTTAAAGTTTTATTTATATTTTGGTAAACTACAATTCTAGTTGATTGAAAGCTTGTGTTAAGATTGTCCATATCTGTGACCCAATGTTGTTCCCTAGAAGGCAGGGGACCCCGAAATCTTGACTGCTAGGCAGGCAGTTAGAGACCTCCTGTCCCCAGTTTCCACAAGCCAGCAGGCAGACCACAGGGCTGGCTGCATGCCTGCAAGAATCGTCATCTAAGGCCTTCACACACACATGTATGTGTGTATATGAGTTTGGGCCACCACACTGATCCATTCTCCAGCCCATCCTGGAAAATTCCACACCATGCCCAGTTGGCCTGGACTTCCAAAATTGAATAGCATACACAAAAGAACCCTAAAGTGCTTTCCATGCTGTATTTGGTGTTCCTGCATTTGACAAAGTCTGGGTCCACAGATCTCTGGAATACAGGCAAACCTGAGGTTCAGTTACTCGCATGGTCAAAATGCTTGCCACAGCAGCAGAAAGGTTTCCTAATTTTTGAAGGGATAAGGTTTAAGAAATCTGGAAGGATGGTACAATTTAATAATTAGAGAAACAATTACCAAGCAATCTCTTCTCAAATCCATCCTGACAACCATGTGAATTCTAGTTTCTGTAGCAGTCAATGGGTCTTACCATGCCTTCCTCACACCTTTCCAATTTATCTACAGTATATTTCTAATGACTAAGACCATGTCTGGAGCACTCTGAGGCAGATGTTTTATACCAGATTGGAAAGGCAGCCTGCTCCCCGTCAAGTCTGCCTTACTGAACCAAGTGCCCATCTGTGCACAGAGGGCATAGGAGTTGGCCTTCTCCTGACATTCCACACTTAACAAAACTCCCATATAACAACATAAGACAACAGCTGAGTACTGCATTCTGTGTTCACTCAGCCTCATGGTGTGCTGACTCTCAGAGGTACCTCCTGTGAGTAAAGATGTCTTTTTCACCACAGAGAATGGGGTAGGCCAGTCAGTATTGGAGGAAATATGTGTGAAGGCTAAACTTCCGGCTAGCTGAAGGCCTGGAAGAAGCTGACCATCTATTGAGCCCCAAATTATAAAGACATGACACTGAACAGCTCACCTCTGTGGTAGGGACACTGGAGACTCCTCCATAGAATGCCCCTGTGCCCCACAGCCCCACGGGTAAAGCTAAGGGAAACCATGGTAAGAATTCTGTAGAATAACAACAGCTCCTTGTTCAGATCATGGAGGGCTAGGTCCAGGAAAATATAATGCGAGCCACCTATGTTACTTACTTTTTTCTAGTAGCCACATTAAAACAAAAGAAAGAGGTGAAATTAATTTTATTTTATTTAAGCAAATATATCCAAAGTAGTCTCATTTCAACATGTACCCAATATAAAAATTATTGATAGTTTAGATTCTTTTTTTGGGGTATGTGTGTATGTGGTGGGGTACTATATCTTTGAATTCTGAAATCTGGTGTGTATTTTATACTTATCTCCCCACAGGGTTTCCTAGGCTATAATCTTTACCAAAACAGAATGCCAAGTATTCGCTCCTGCAGAGTAGTTAGGTGGGTTTGAACCACCGACCTTTTGGTTACCAATTGAATGCTTAACCAGTGTGCCACCAGGGCTCACTTAGAGCATATTTCAATTTGGACTAGCCATATTTCAGTGCTTGGCAGCCATATGTGACTAGGGACTACTATGAGAGAGAGCATGGGTCCAGGGATAGAGTGATTACCCTGAATATTTAGAATCCTGGTTCCTGTGGGTTCTATTTAAGCTGATGACATTGCACTAAGGTCAGCCCTGGAGGGAATTTCATGTATTAATACCCTTGACAGCTATTGCCCTTGAAGATGGACAAACATCTAGACTTCAGATGGCACTATTTGGTATCATTAGGCCTTCCCAGATTTCCCTCACTTGGGGCCTGAAGCAGATAATCTCCTTATTCACCTCCTGTCATATTAAGAGGGAGTGTAACAGAGGTTGATGGAACTAGGGGGTCTGGGCAGTCAGTGCCTCTTATTACGCTTCTGAATTGGAACATAATCCATCTAGCTGAGATAGGAATTAGTTTTGAGTTGATGATTTCTTAGGCAGAGCCAAAAAGAGAGCATTAAAATGATGTTTGCTGAAATGACCATCTTGCATCTGCTATAGAGATACTTTAGTGTAACATGATACATATTATAACACAACACAAATAATAAAGTTCTAGACGTGTGTGTGTGTTTCTGGGATGAATACAGGTATACATAATATGATCTTATTTTACAGTTCCAGAACAAAATCTGAATTTAAATGGGTTCTGAATTTGGGAGCAATGAAATGGCTCCAGCACATTGAGTAAAGGGGGTAGGAGAGAAGTGGGAATGGAGATGAGGACTCTTGTCTTTCAAATTATAATGTACATCAAAAGGTAGAAAAAATTCCAAAAGTTTATCAGCAGCATAGCAACAAGGCTTTATGCTAATTCATGAAGTAATAGTGAGTCGAAAAGTTTTATTATCTTTGTCATGTGACCCATATTCCTCTGAAAATAACTAGTTTTGAATATTGAGGCCTGGTGACCATCTAGATAAAGTCCATTCTGCTATCCAACTGAGCAGCAGAATATGTAAAAACTCATCGTAAGTGGTACCCTGCTATCTAATTATTTGAGAATACCAGAGATACTCGGTCAAGTTAACCAAGGTCTGTCCTCAGGTTTTTGGTCATTTTATTGTTTATTGAGAAATGCACCTGACATATAGTCATCCATGATGAGCTCTGATAAAATGTAATCACCTCCATGATGACATCTGCTATGAGCAGCCACTAAGTTGAAAGGATGCTTCTCAGAGGTGTGGCCTGCACCCAATATATATGGGCATCTTGGCAAAGCTCTCTGGATCCTGCATCTGTCTCATCATCATCTGACCTCTGGTTCTTTAGACTTGAACCAGTGGCCTGCCATCAGGCTCTGCAAGCCAGCGGCCTGCTGCATTACCTGCCAATCTCAGGTTAATCAGCCCCTGAAGCTACATGAGTCAGGAGGAACTTCCAGCCTAGTGCATGAACCATAGACTTGGGACTTTCCAGCCTCCACAACTGCGTAAGCCATTTCCTTGAGGTAAATCTGTGTGTGTGTGTGTGTGTGTGTAAGCTTCTCTAGAGAACCCAGCCTAAGACAGGGCATCTGCAGTAGGAAGACTTGATTTTCATTGTCTATCCTTTTGTACTATTCAACTTATTTTTTAAAACCATACACAGTACTTCTTTGTCAATTATCATTTTAGAAAAACCAATGAATAAATATTTTATATTTAAAAAAAGCATGAGGCAGTGAGGAAAGGAAAAAATAATTAAAATTTCTACTTGTTAACAACTATAGCTCAAAAAATAATTATAGCAAGGTCATGGGAGAGGTGCTTTTAATGTCTGGCTAAAATTAAAATACGCATTCATTGGATGTTTTCAATTACCTACCCAACCCCATTCACATGCCAAGTGGTCAAGTTAATAATTTAAGGACAGTTTTACTGAACTGGAAATTTTATACTACAAAATACCTCCTGAAATATGTGGTCATGGACTAAGACATGGAAATATTTACAAACTGGTGTTTACTTATAGCAGGTTGTTGTTCTATTTTAAAATCCTTACAATTCTCAGGAAGAGGTAAGACTGAAGGAACCATCTTCGTCTTATAGATTAGCATCTACTGAGCCTAAATTATGAAGACATGGGGCATGGACAGCTCACCTCAGTGCTAGAGAGATGAGGAAACTCACTTTAGCAACCCACCAAGCTTAAACTAGCATTTAAAAGCAAGCACATATATTGGGGGATGGGTAGGAGGGGTAGATCATGCTTAAACCTACAACACTTTTCCTACCATAATGGTAAAGGCTTCATATTCTTAACATTCTCTTCCTTGGCAAATACCAGATCTGTCATAAAAAGGTGACCCAAGAGGACCCTGCAAATGTATTTCAGTAATGCATTTTGCATAAGGAATAGAATAACATTGGCTAACACCCCTGTGAATCACACTGTCTTTGGGAGAAAATGTAAAAAGTGCCAAAGCAGATTTCCTTGTTAAACAACAAATTTCTAGATTCTTCAAGGTATAACAACAAGTGCTCTTTTCCATCTAATTTTGAATCCTTAGATTTCAGAAAAGAAGAAAGGGTTGGGGTTGGGGGAAAGGATAGAACCAGCCTGTTGGGGGTAGCAGTGAAATGGAGAGGGGGTGGGCTCAGGAGGTGGTGGGGATTCTGGCAGCAGCTACCTAAAATGCAAATCCTGGGGCAGCAGATTTCCTTTATGAAAAAAAAAAAAAATTGCCCTTGAGTTGATTCTGACTCAAAGGAACCCCACGTGTCAGAACAGAACTGTGCTCCACAGGGTTTTCAGTGGCTTATTTTTTGGAAGTAGATAACCAAGCCTTTCTTCTGAGGGGCCTCTGGGTGGATTTGAACCTCCAATCTTAAAGTTAGCAGCCAAGCATGTTACTAAAAGTAAAGGCTTGAACTAAATGAATTAAGGTCCATGTGACTTATGATGTGGACCTTTTGACATCTATCTCAACTCTTCTCCTTATCATTTCTAGAATGAACCATTGATCAATGCCCAGCATCTGAAGAAAATGCTCAGTGCCTGCAACAGAGATGCTGGAAGGTCTGAATTCTCCCAGCCTGTCTGTATCAGAACTCAGATAGTGAAATTGTGCTTGTGGAGAATTCTCATTACTGCCAGTTGGGAAAAACTTCCTTGTGGTTTTATGAAGAAGAGTAGGCTCTAGGAATACATTCAGGTAAGAGGATGGAGAAACTGAGCTCATATCAGAAACTGACAGGCCTGCAGGATGCTGTGGCCAAAACATGTCACCTGAAATTTAGCAGTCAACACTCAGGGGACTTTAAGGAGCATAGTTGGCGGGAGAATGACCTGGAGCAGAGAGTTGAGAAACTAACTCTTAAGGTTTCACAATTGGAGTGGTAGTGAAAACAGATAATGGGGAAAAGATTTTGGAAGATGTGAATGTAAGACCCAGCATAATGGGATAGATAGTTAATTTAAGGATCTGGTGAGTCTTTTCTTATCTAGTTAATGAAGAGCAATGAGGGAGACTTGCGAGAATGCCTGTTATTTTAGGGGATATTAAAAAGCACAAATGCTACAGTCTAAAGGATTTATTAAGTTGCCTGCACTAATGTTGGAATACTTAAATGATTTAGCTCTTTATACCAAAAACCAAACTCACTGCCACTGAGTTGGCTCCGACTCATAGCGACCCCTCCTTGGGTTTCTGAGGCAGTATCACTACAGAAGTAGGATGTCCAATCTTCCTTCTGAGGAGTGGCTGGTGGGTTTGAATAAGGGCTTGAAAAGTAGTTTATATAATTTTTATAATTATATAATCATTTTCGGTACAAGATCTGAATTTTAAAGGAAGCTTCTGGATAATTCTTTGCAAAATGAGAAACCTTTTGGTGAAATAATTCAACTTTATCTTTTCTATATAAAAACAAGCAAACTCACTGCCACTGAAGTCAGATCTGACTCATAGCAACCCCTCCTTGGGTTTCCGAGGCAGTATCACTACGGAAGTAGATCACCCCATCTTCCTTCTGAGGAGTGGCTGGTGGGTTTAAACCACCAGTGTTCTGGTTAGCAGCCAAATGCCTTAGGTACTACGCCACCAGAGCTCCCCTTCTTTTCTATATAGGCAAACTTTTATTACCCACTGGCCTCATATTTTTTATGCTCTATCAGTTGCTGTTGTGTCAACTCTGACTCACAGCGACCCCATGTGTGTCAGCGTAGAACTGTGCTCCATAGGGTTTTCAGCGGTTAATTTTTTGGAAGTAGATCACCATGTCTTTCTTCTGAGTTGCCTCTGGGTGGACTTGAATCATCAACTTTTCAGTTAGCAGTCAAACACTTAACCATTTGCACTACTCCGAGGATTCCAAATTAATACTGACAGTCTGCCCTCCTGCTCAATACCTCACCTGGGCACCAGAAGTCTTGATCACTTTTCTTCCTTGCACTCTGTGCTGCCAGATGCCTGTTTTCTTCCAAAGAGATGATGCCCGTCGGGATGGAAGCCACTCTCCGTGGCAGGTCCCTGCCATTCAGAGACACAAAGGCTCTTGGCTGCTCCCCCTGGCCTCTCTCCATCTTCAGTTCCTCAGGCTCCTCCATGGAATCCGTGCTCCTGGAGCTCAGAAGCCTCATCCGGGACACAGAGTCCACCTCTCTCATTCTCATTAAGCGGTCAGGGTCTGCTCTCCTCAGTGGGGAGGCTAGTTTCTCTTGTAAACATTCAATCACTTTGGAAGTGCTTCTGTACCTTTTTTCTGAGCCTGCCACACTTGGGCTCCTCTCGATAAAATGGAACAAAGTGGATCTGAAGGGTGGTTTTGTCTCTGAGTTCTTTTGATCCAAGGACTTGGGATCCAGTGAGTTGGGCTGCGGCTCAGGGCTGGAGGCGTCACAGGTGATGGCCCCATCCGTACCTGAGTGGGCAGACACGTGGGGAGTCCATCTAGTCATGTCTCTCTCCCCTACAAAGAGAGGGCTTTCAGTCCAGCCACACTTTCTTCGGCCATAAAAGGCATCTTTTGATGCTGTGGGGCCATCTGGCTGAGCTGAGCTGGTCAGGGGTTCTTCCCTGGGTGAATCCATCCTGAAGGCACTTTCATTGGATTCAGGGTGCTGATTATGTCCTGCTCTCCTGCTGGCCCGCAGGAGGGACTCCACGGCAACCTCGATGCCCAGAATCCGTTCAGCCCTCTCTTGAAGGGACTCATTTGGGGGGATTTCTATTGCACTTGCTTTCTCGAAAGAGCCATCTAACTGGTTTGCTCTCTTCTCTTGACCCGTATGAAGCCCCACAGACCGTAAATCTGGTGCCGAGAGTCCTCGGTTTTTGTTAGAAAGATTGAGTGGAAACGCTGTCTCCCTCTCTTCTTCACTCTCAGCCTCTGGAGTGACCATTCTGCTTGGTTCCACAGAACTGATATCATTGGCAAATGCCTGCCTTTCCTGTGGCTTCCTTGGCTCAGCTGGGTAGAGTTCAGGGGCTGGTTCTGTGTCACTTAATCTAAATGCCATCATTCTTTTCATAGGACCTGGGCTGACTGCTGGCTTGCTTCTTCTAGTTCCAACCTCCTGGTTTCTCTTCTCTGTGATCCAGTTTCCATCTGCCGACCTGAACAATTCCCCTCTGCTATCTTCTGCCTGCAGGATGCCCAGGGCTGGAGGTCCAGCCTTCTGCTCCTCATTCCAGCTTTCAGACTTACTCTTCACTCTTTCTGACCTAAATCCAGGATCCTCTGGTACCAGGATCCTTGGCTGTTGCTCACTTCTCACTGCCTGGCTGTAGCCATTGAATCCAGAATTATTCCATCTGGAGTCCGTATAGTTATCCTGTTGCCCGTCTGCCTCACTTCCTTCACTGCTACCTTCACTGCTGCTATGACTGCTCTCTTTCTGTTCTTGAAGCTCCTTGTTAAAATTTTCTAACTGACTTATTAAATCCCAGGGACGACGGCTCACAGGTTTTAACAGAAACTGACCAAACAGCTGTTGACTGTTGCATGGACTAGTTGGTTCCCCCTTCGCTACCTCGTCCTTGGCTGGAGGGTTGGCTCTGTGTCCGTGGACATCCTTGTGAGACTGACTCTGGCATGCTTTGGGTGCAGGGGCCTGACTCATGCCTGAGGACGTCCTTGAGAAAGCGCTGTTGCTTGAGGGGCTGAGATACATTTGACCTTTTAAATAATGAGCATTTGCCCCCTGCTTTTGGTCACTGGGAGCTAAAGTTGTGTGCATCGGAGCACCAGAGGCAGTGGGGTCTGAGTGATCAGGAGTCAGCACTGAATCACCTGAGCCTCCTGGCTTCCCATTAGGGAGGAGCTGTGAGATTTTGGATTCTTCAGTGAAGCTAGTCTGCGTTTGCTGGTCTCTAAACTGGTGCCCTGGACAAGAGCCAGAGTATTTGAGCTCCCTGTGTCTTGCAGGGTGAATGAATCTTAGATCATTTGTTTGTTTGTCTTCTGTTTCCCTCAGATTTTGTTTTTGTAGCTCTGCTCTGCTGCCTATGCTTCCTGTGAGTGCCTGCAGCTCCAGGTCGGTGGAAGACATGCTCAGCAGACTTTGTTCTTGCAACCCTGGGCTCTTATCAAGCCCATTCTTTTTATCAGCACTCTGCTTTAAGTCATTGTTGTTCCTATCTATCTCTGGCAGATGTGATTCAGATTTAACTGGGATGGAAACCAAGCAAAACACAGTCTCGTTCTTTTTTGTCTTTGAACTTTTCTTGGTCTGGAGCCCAGTTTCAAACTTTTTGAGCTTGGTTATGGTTTCACAGGTACTCTCGGCCTGTGGGTTTAGGGAAGAAGCGTGGCCTTCGGAGTGTCCGCGTTGGGCGCCTTTCACATCAGGTCGCTGTCCTCTCACGGCACAGTTGTCTCTTTGGTCAACAATGTCACTGGGTTCTCCATCCCTGGGGACCCGGCTCAGCAGCCACTGGGGGCTGGGATCAGAAGTGGCAGGGGCCTGCTCATTCCCAGCCATGGGTGTCATGCTGTGTGCATTTAAAAAGGCACCACCAGGTTGCATTTTCCTATGAGCTGGCTCTTGGGGAGCAGCAGGCCCAGTGCTGTATAACTTATCATAAAGCTGGGTTTCATCACTGAAACCTTGGGGATGAGTTAGTTTAATATGTCGAATACGTGGATCATCAAAAGGAATGTACTGAACAGAGCTGTTGTGAGTGGTGGCGGAACAGGGGTGTTGGGGAAGCCCATGAGGAGAGTGTGGGCTTGCATTGTATTCATTCCCAGTTCCCAGGGACCCAGCAGAACGCTGGCAACTGGCACTGGTCTTCTCAGTGGGGGGCTGCTGCTGACTGCGACCCCCACACACATATCTGGGAGTTGAATCTTCCAAGTACGGGTTTGTGATGTGTGGGGAGGGCGAATGATATGATGGCGGAGGCACATAGACTGGAGGCTCCAAACTAGAGTCTGACCCACAGTGTTCCTGCCTGGGGTCACTGGTTTTGGTCAGATAGGGAACATACAAGTCGTCTGTTGGCTGGCTGTCCTGGTACTCGGTGTTTTCGACTCCTCCCCTGGACTGTTGGTGTAGCTCATAAGATGGAGGCTTGAGGGGTCTCCCAAACTTAGGCTGTGGTAAAGGAACAACGAAGCCACTCTTCTCAGTGTTCCTTGTGGATTCCAAATTTGGTGCACAATTTGGAGGATAAAGTGGCATCTTAGGAATCTGTGGTAAATGTCCATCATTTAGCGAAATGGGCATTTCCATGCAACTTAGGCTTTCAGGGGAAAGAACTTTAGGCAACGACTGGGATTTCCCTTTGTTTTGAGGATTCAATATGTGTTCTCCTGCAATGAGTGGGTATAGATCTTGAAACGTTTTCTCCCCACCACCATCAGACATCTGCCTCCCCAACTTCCTCGGCTGGTTCCAGCTTTCCTGGTTTACATTCTGCCACTTGGCAGCGCCCGACATCCTCAGCTCTTCTTCCAAAATGGCCTTTTTCGTCACATTCTCTGTCCTTGCTCCGATGTCCCATGGGCCCTCCCTCAAGTGAACAGGCCGACTGTGAGCTTGGGCCAATCCTCTGACCTCCAGGTCCTCTCGGTCCCTTGAAACCAGCAAGCCACTGTACTCCTGTCCCCTTCTTCTCTGATAGGCTTGGTCTTTCACAGTCTGCAGCTGAGAGGACCACACCAATGGTGGCTGATTATAAAATCTACAAAACAAAAAGGCACAGATGTTACATGAAGGAAAGCAGCTCACAGAAGGAACGTACTTCTCTGCTTCCGTGAGCAGCACTCCAAGTCAAACTCAGGGCAAAACCTTTTTAAAAAATTTCTCCCAACCACACAGTACTTGTCAACTTTAAGGAAAACATGTACCACTAATTATGGTTGGAAGATGGCCACGTGTTTTGCCATCAAGGACCTAGGAGTGGCAGCGGCAGGCTGACCACAAGAACATCAGAAACATTGGCTGGACTTGAGATGTCAAGGCCCTTAGAACTTTAAAATGCCCAAGGGAACAAGGGGAAGCCCTACAGCAGGGTTTCTCAAGGTGTGGTCTTGGGCTGCTTGGAGGTCTGATTAAAAATTTAGATTCCTGGCTCAGTACAGATCTACTCAACAATCTCTAGAAGTGAGGTCTGAGAGCTTGCTTTTAACAACACTGCTCTTTAGCCCACCCACTGCCATGAAGTCAATTGCTACTCATAGCGACCCTGTAGGACAGAGTAGAATTGCCCCGTAGGCTTTACAAGGTTGTAAATCTTTACAGAAGCAGACTCCCACATCTTTCCCCTGCAGAAGCTGGTAGGTTTGAACTCCTGACCTTTTGGTTGGCAGCCAAGCGCTTTTAACCATTGTGCCACCAAGGCTCTTTGCTCTATAGCAGTGGTCTTTAAACTTCAGCATGCATCAGAATCATGTTGCTAAAACCCAGATTCCTGGGTCCCATGCTCAGTTTCTGATTCACTCTAGGCCTGGCGGGGGGTGGGGAATGGGAGTGGGAGGGGATGTCATGTGCCTGAGTGGTATAAATAGTTACCATGCTGGGCTGCTAACCTAAAGATTGGAGGTTGGCGTCTACCCAGAGGTGCTGTGGAAAAAAGACCTGGTGATAGACATTAGAAAAATCAGCTATTAAAAACCCTATGGAGCATAGCTCTGCTATGACACACATGGGGTTGCCATGAGTCAGAATCACCACAGCAACTGGTTTTGTTATATTTTAGATCTGGGTGGGGCCCAAAATTTACATTTCTAATAGGTTCAAACCCACCAGCCACTCCTCGGAAGGAAGGCTGGGCAATTTATTTCCGTAGTGATGCCGCCTCAGAAACCCAAGGAGGGGTCGCTATGAGTCGGGGCTGACTCAGTGGCACATAACAACGACAACAAGTTCTCAGTTGACTCTGATGCTGTTTGTTGGGGATCACACTTGGAGAACTTTCAACGCCAATGGTTCTCAACCTTGATTACACATCAGAATCACTGGAGGAACTTCTAAAATCCTGATGCCCAGGCAGTATCTCAGATCAACTAACTGCATTATAATCTCAGAAGGGAAAGGGGGAGACTTAGGCTTCAGTATCTTCTCAAGTTACCCCAGAAATTTCTGGCTTGTGGCCAAGACCAGGAGCCACTGCTCTAGAACATTTCCTACACTTCCCTGATGAATGAATCACCCAGGACACCTGTTAAATATACATAATATCAGATCTCTTCCCCTAAAAATTCTGATTCAGTAGGTCTGGGTTAAACCAGAACCAAACTCACTGTCCTGGAGTCAGTTCCAACTCGTAACAACCCCTCCTTGGGTTTCCCAGGTGTTATCTCTATGGAAGTAGATTGCTCAGTCTTCCTTCCGAGGTGTGGCTGGTGGGTTTGAACCACCAGCCTTCTGGTTAGCAGTCAAATACCTTAGGCACCACGTCACCTGGGTTAGGGCCCAGGAATCTGTAGTTTTAAGTAGCACTCCAGGTAATTCTTATCTTCAGGTGATAAGGGAAATACAGCTAAGACCAACTTGGAGAGTGACCCAAAGGAAAGGGTGGGAGGCTCTTCCTATGGGACACAACTCTCTCTGAGACAGGAAATGGTAGCATCAAATACCAACCCAGTTCTACGTGTCTGTACAACACACAAATGGACATTAGAATTACCTTGGGAGCCCCTTTTAAACACTGATGCCCAGGTCTACCCCCAAATATTTGGATTTAATCTATCTAGTGAGGAACCCGAAGGAGCTCTGGTAGCATAGTGCATAGGGCACTTGACTGCCAACCAGAAGGCTGGTGGTTCAAACCCACCAGCCACTCCTCAGAAAGAAGGTTGGGCAATCTACTTCCGTAGTGATACTGCCTGAGAAACCCAAGGAGGGGTTGCTATGAGTCGGGTCCAACTCGACGGCACATAACAACAACAACAACAGTGAGGAACCCAAAAAACAGTATTCAAAATCTCCCCAGATGATCCTAGCATGCATCCAGCATGTAGAATTCCTGTTCTAATATAAGCAAAAAAAAAGTATCTGAACAGGTATGTAAGACTATGTAGGAGTATTAAGCTACTACTGACGAGTGACCAGAGTCTAGGACTATAACATGTTGTCGTTGTTATGTGTCATAGAATTGGACTCGACTCATAGTGACTCCTCCTTGGGTTTCCAAGATGGTATCTCTACAGAAGTAGATTGCCTAACCTTCCTTCTGAGGAGTAGCTGGTGGATTTAAACTGCCAGCCTTCTGATTAGCAGTCAAGTGCCTTAGGCACCATGCTACCAGAGCTCCTAGACTATAACACAGAAAGACAATTAACCAGAAAGAAGCTCAGGGGACTCAATTATTTTGATTAATGATGGGCTAAGCAGAAAATGTTTCAACTCTCTAACATTACTGTTTGCTTTTCAAATCTTAGATGAGATTTATATTCATGGTTGAAAAATTTAGAAACCTTAGAAAATTTAAAAAAAAAAAAAATTGCTTGTAATTTTTCTACCCAGAGATAGTTACTCCTGATATATATCTTTGTGTGTGTGTGAATATGTATTTTAAAATAGCCTTTGTATTCTACCAAAGGAGCCCTGGCGGATCAGTGGTTAAAGCGTTCAGCTGTGAACCAGCCAGCTGGCCCATGGGAGAAAAAAGTGGCAGTCCGCTTCCATGAAGATTTATATCCTTGGAAATCCTATGGGGCAGTTCTACTCTGTCTTTTAGGGTTGCTATGAGTCAGAATTGACTTGATGGTAGTAGGTATTCTAAAAGGTATTTGATTTTGTGTGAATATTTAACAACACTTTTACTACAAACAGCAACAGCTGGTACTTAAATAGCATTTACTATGTGCTAGATCTGTAAATAGGGACACATCCTTGGGTTTCTTCTATCACTACAGAAGTAGATTACTCAATCTTCCTTCTGAGCAGTGGCTGGTGGGTTTGAACCACCAGCCTTCTGGTTAGCAGTCAAATGCCTTATGCACAATGCCACCAGAGCTCCTAGATCTATACAAGGAGCCTTTCTTGCCCAGTGGTTAAGCACTTGGCTGCTAACCAGAAAGTTGGCAGTTTGAACCCACCAACTGCTACATGGGAGAAAGATGTAGCAGTCGGCTTCCATAAAGAGTTACAGCCTTGAAAACTCTATGGGGCAGTCCTACTCAGTCTTATAAGGTTGCTAAGTGTTGGAATTGACTTGATGGGGATGGGTTAGATCTATACTACAATCATGAAGATGGCACAGGACTCGGCAATGTTTCGTTCTATTATATAAACATTGCCGTGAGTTGGAGCAAAGTCAATGGCAACTAACAACAGGTCTATATTAAGTGCTTCTGCACATTAACTTCACAAGCATTCTCAGGTAGATACAACTGTCTTTCCCACATAAAGATACCGAGGCCCAAAAGTAACTTGCTAAACATTAACATTTAATGAATATTTATTTATGCTGTGTCAGGTGCTGTGCTGAGCACACCAAATGAATTATTTCATTTAAACTTTATACCACCATTGTTGTTGTTGTTGCAGTTATGTGCCGTCAATTCAGACCTGACTCATGGCAACCTTATGTCCCCCATTTTACCAATAAGGAAACTGAAGTAGAGAGGTTTTAAAACCAAGTCACACAGCTTTTAAGTAGTGGGAAAAGGATTCAAATGAAAGACATGTGAATTTAAGAGTACATTTTACTTCTTTCTATATAATTGAAAAGGGGTTCTAGTGGTGCAGTGGCTAATGCACTCAGCTAATTAAGAGGTCAGTAGTGCGAACCCACCAGCCGTTCCACAGGAGAAAGATGAGGCAGTCTGCTTCCATAAAGATTTACAGCCTTGGAAACCCTATGAGGCAGTTCTATTGTCCTAGAGGGTTGCTGTGAATCAGAACTGACTTGATGGGTTTGAGTCATGCAATGATAAAATTCCTCAAATGCGTATTTTTAATGGCTAAGTAATATTCTATACACATTTACATGATTTATTTTACTACATTACCATTATTTGACATGTATGTCAATTCCATCCTAAAACATTTTGATAGACACTATTTTTCACAAGGAATTCCTGGATAGTGCAAACGGTTAAGAGCTGGACTACTAATTGAAAGGCCTGCATTTCCTCATCACACAGTGTAGGCTGCCTTAACACTGGCCATGTTAAGAGGTCACAATTTCTTGGTTCCTGTCATCAAAATCATGTTTTGAACACTTAGGTTTTAAACACTTAGCAGAGCACTGCTTGGGTCAGGTTCTATAAAGACTGTTCAGAATAGAAAGGTTATTTTAGGAACCATTGCTCCTGGCCTCTGTGATAGTCTTGAAAATTTTCCCACATGCCTTAGGTGAGCCAACAAATTGCTGCCCAGACTGTGTGCAGCTCTGGAAGCCACTGTCCCATCCTTTAGAACTCCTCTGTGACTTTACTGCCCATTGGCAGCTGAGAAACAGTTCAGATAAATCACTTAAAAATTCTCCGCACTTACTGCCTATGAGGTCTTAGTCTCTATGCAAAGCCCAAGGACAAGACATATAAATTGCAAGTTAATTAAACATTACAGTTCTCATAACCAATTGCCACTGAGTTGATTCTGAGTCATGGTGACCCTCGTGGGTGCCAAGTAGACTGTGCTCTATAGGGTTTTCAGTAGCTAATTTTTTTGGAATAGATCTTCAGGCCTTTCTTCTGAGGCTCCTCTAGATGGACTCAAATCTCCAACCTT